ACTAAATGCCCTTAGAGAGATTCTTCTAACTATTAGTATATTGCGCAAGAGATTACTTGGGTGATCACAATTTCCGCCCAACCAGAGTCTCATAATTAGGCACTTGTTTAAAATCCCCACACAAGCTCGAACTTTGTGGGAATCTGCTAAGATCGAACTAAGGTTTAGGTTGAAGCTGTACTTGAATATTGACTAAAGATAAGGCCAAAGAAAAACCTTAAGCCCACGCCCAAAGCCCTATTGAGAGACACAAATAAAAGGAAAACAACCAGTCAACCTGACTTTTGAAATAGCTAAAGTGGCCAGGCCAAGATTTTTGCCATACAGGTCCGGGGCCAGCGGAATTGCAAACATCTTTATTGCAGAAGCAAAGATGACCAAAAGACGAACGAGACTCAGAGATGCAAACGAGATACTTTTCCATGTTAATGGAGAGTCGAGATGAGCAATCGCGTACCATTTGGGTTGCGCCATCTGATCGTAAAAAAGGGGTAAAAAATGGATTAAAAAAGTAATAAGAAAGTGTTTGGCTGGACGATTGCAGGAAAAACAAGGATAGGGACTAAAAATGGGGTCATGAAAGTGAGTTTTAGCCGGAGTAAATTATCATTAATATTGAGTAAATCATAATTATTATTAAATTATAATTTTAGCATAACTACGTGAAATCAGAAATAAATTTCGGTCACAGATGTAGTTAATTGCATCAAGCCTTAGCTCATGTCTACAGGAGAAAACAATAACCCTTTAATTTCATTTATAAGCAGGCTTTCGAGATTACTAGTAGAATTTATATAAGAGAGACACTATGCACTGCACTCTCATGGTTCAACCTCCGCTAGGGATGATTATAAGACCTAGGCGAGGTCAGAACTGCAGTCAATCTTGGATGACCATACCTTTTGGGAAAGCGAGTCTCGGTGAAATTCAATGGAAACGTAAGGCATATTCATATTGTTGTAAGAAAATGCAATTACCAGTCTTTTAAAAAAATAGGATAAGCACATTATATATCTCATATACTGGTAGCCTCAAAAACCTATTTGCAAACCAAAAACTTTAGGTAAGTCTAGGCCTTTCCTACATCACATTTCCGAGATGGGAATAGCGATTAAG